CCCCAAAACCCCAAAACCCCAAAACCCCTACTCTTGATATTCAAAGAAAAAGACTGGAAGTAATGAATGCAAATAAATTAAAATAGTTTTCTCACGGTATGGAGATTATATTTTAAGTAAGTTAACAAAGTATCATATTTAAAATAGTAGAAGGTAGGCTATTTATTTGTAGAAGATTTGATATATCAATCTAAGCGAGATACTAGGATATCTGTTGGGTAGAGCTTGCTCTTCTCGCGAGATGAGTCAGTTTCCTTCACTGTATTCATCTTCTGATAGTTAAAGTAGCCCTTAGTTTGGTTTATATCTTCTTATGGAGTGAGCAGTTATTTTAATGGTTTAGAACTCTTGGAAGGATCCAACTCACTCATACACATAGGCAAGCCATCTTTATCATCATCCAACTTAAATTCCTCCTCCAGGTTATTATCGAATTTAGACCTTTCCATCTACTGGGAAGTTTTCTTAATCTCCTTCCTAGCTAAGGGAGAGTTTTTCTTTACATAAGAGCTTTATCTCTTTTCTTGATAAGGGGTATCCAAATTATTTAAAGTTGTAATTGATCCGCGTAGTCTCTGATTTAAGACACCACTTAGCCGAGTACGAAGATTATTTGTCTCAGTGCCTCTTGCTGAGTTAGCTCCACTACCACCTCCTTTTGATCCTTTTGACTATGCAGTGGATGACTATTTCTCAGATGAGCTATCATCTCATAGTTCTTCAGCCTGTGCGTGAGCCTTCTTACTTGACTATTCTATCTTTTGCCTAACAGATTATCGCTTTGTTTCCTTTTTACCCCCTTCAATGGCATTTTCTTGCTATTCTCGAAATTTTTATTTTTAAAAATGAGATGCTTACAGCTTCTTTTAGATCCCAGTTCTTGATAAAATACTCTATGGCTTACTAATCTTCAATGCCATTTGGAAAAGCAAATTCATATCCATGAATTTTTGCGTCTATATCTACTTTTTGCTTAGGTCTTTCTTGTTCACAACATTAAATCATTCCCATTCTATCTACAATTATTTATTTAATTAATAGAATTTTACTAATTTTAAGTTTAGTTTGATACTTATTCTCCTTGGAGTTATGCTTTAACTACTCTAGTTCTGGCATAATATTAGAAATTTTGAATTCAAGAACTAAAGTGAATTTCATAAGTATCTGTTTTCTTTTTCCCACTGACTTAAAACAAAGATTAATTTCTCAAGTTAAGATTTTAAGGAACATTAGAACTTCTGAACTTCTTAAGCATTTTTTTATGATAAGAAAGGTTTTTTTAAGAAACAGGTGTAATTTTCATGTTGCATTTACTAAAAATGTTTGTTTACTTTATCAATCCTAAAATAAAGAACTTCATTATTTATATTGGTCTATTAATGTGGAGCGTTTAGTAGCCTCTAAAAGTTAATAAGAGATCTTAGAAAGTAAAAATGCAAATTTTTTAATTAGTTAGTTAAATGATTATTAATTCGTTCAATCATTTAAATTATAATTCTTAAATATATGAAAACTAGACAACCCTTCTCAGAGACTTAAAACCTGTTAACAGTCAAGCAGCAGAATCTATCAGATTCTAATCACTCCCAGTCAACTCCAAATTTGAACAAGAACTCAATACTTTACAGTGCTGGCCACAGCCAATACAAACTGAGTGCTGTTCAATCAAAGCAACAACTTGGTCAGTTTAACTAGAGTGTAATGTTAAACGGTGGAGATATCGATGATAAACAAATGAGATAAGCACTTGATCAAAACTTTATGGACAAATAAGATAGGATTGATAAACTTCAAATGTTCATCCAGAAACTTAACTATGAATTGCAAAGTAAAATTGAGAGATGTGACTATTTACGATCGATCTACGACACAAAATCAAGTGAAACAAGGTAAGCAATTTTAAATTTTAACAATCAAATTGAATTTAACAAACACATTTCATCTCTAACCATCAATATAGTGAGACTGAACAAACTTTGAAAAAAGAAATACTTGAAATCTCTGAGAGACTTGAAATCCTTTCTTTATTCACCAAGAGAGAAAAGTTTTCGTCCAAGCAGCTAAAGGATAAGAACACCTACAAGCTTGACATATAGGAGTAGAAACTAGAAAAACTCTAAAAAGAAAAGGATGAATTGATTGATTAACTGTAGTAAATAGAAGTGCAAGTAAAGTAATAATAAGAAGAAAAAGAAGTTAAGTTAAGAGCTGCACTCAGACCATTATAAGATGCTAGAAGTGAGATATAGCAGCAAGAGTAGATCTTCAGCACTCGCAAGAAGGTTTGTGAGTAACACAAGGAAAGACTTGAGAATCTTCTTAATCGTTAAAGAAATGAAGAATCCAAGATTAGCCAAAATGTTGACTACCTACATAATGATATTGCTAGACTCAATGGCGAGATGAATGAAATTAAGCAAGACCATATGGATGAGTTTGAAATATTCCTGAAAGAATATGATGAAGAGAAGCAATTGAAAAAAATTGTGCTAGAAAAAAAGAAGATCGATGAAAAAATCAATAAATAAGAGAAAATATGCAAGAAACTCAAAGATGAAGTCGAGAAAATTGACAGTGAAATCAATGATCCAATTAAGAAATAACAAGATAAGGTCAACAAAGCTTTGAGAGAACTCAATAACTTCAAACCTACTCAATAGTCAATGTAGAACAACAATAATTTGAAAAGAAATCATGAAATCGCTAAAGTTGAGAAATTTCTTAAGGATAAGGAATCCGAGTTTAAAAGCCAAAATTTGACCGAGGTAATATGCCAAGAGACTCAGATGCAAGAAATTGCCAAGAAGTATCAGATTCCTTACCTTGAAAAATAGCTTCAAATTCTTACAGATGCATTTATGGAGGATGACCAGAAAAGAGAGGAGGAGTTAAATGCTTTGAAGCTTGAAATTATCAATCACAATCCACTTCCTAATTCAAATAACAATAACACTTTAAATCCTAACCTTACTTAAATTAATGAGGAAACTGAAGATGCTTCAGTAATTAATACTACCACTCATAACTCAGTAGCTTAAGCTTGCTAACATATTAGCTCTCATAATGCAGCGGCTACTCTAAAATGGGTTACTTAAAGGTACAATCAAGCCCTTGAGACTTAAAAAGAACAGAGATTCTTGTTCAAGAGAAAGGCTACATTACTATAATAGAAAGTTAATGAGTACAGAGCAATCAAGATAGCTTAGCAAGGATTCGATCTTGAGTAAGCAAAAGTTGTTTACTTAAAGAAAATTTGGGCCAGAATGAACTGTGATTAAGAAGAAAGATAGAATTTCCAGAATATCCTTGACATGTACATTGAAAGAGTTGAGCAAAGAGAGGATTTCCTGAGTAAAACTTTAGTTGAAAAGTAATAAGTGACAGAATAATATGCCTCAAAATAAGATCTACTTGACAAGAAAAGATAGCAATTAGTATCACAACATGATCAGGTTGAGTAATGGCAGTAATAATCAAAGGAGCTACACAAGAGCGAAAAAGTACTCTCAAAAAGCTTGGAGGATAGACAGACCTAGGTTGAATTTTAACTGTTTAAATTTGGAGAAAAGAACTTTGAGGAGTATTATGCTAAGCATGAACAATTGTTTGAAGGAGTCAAAAAGACATACGGAAAGAAAGTATGCGATAAAATGAAAACTCAATAAAAAAGAGAGTTTATTGAGATCACTGTTCAATAGTATAAAAGAAGGATTCAGGAACTTAAGAATAGACAAATGAAGATTGAAGAGAATCAATCACAGATTGGGCAAAGTCAAAAAAAGCTTAGAGAACAATTAATGGTTGAAATATCCAAAATAGAGACTGACTTAAGATATTAACTTGGGGAGCTAAGAGTTGTAGAGTTCCAACTTCAAGCAACGAGAGATGCCTTAGTTGAAATTAACAGGGAAATCGATAGTCTCACAGCATCACGATAATTAGACATCAAGAAAATGATATAGCAGCTGTTCAAAACAAAGAACTATGATTCATAGAAGGTCAGATTACAAACACTTGAATCTGAAATAAGCAAGAAGTAGAAATTGGTTTATAGATTGAGATTAGAAGTTGAAGATAAAGAGACCACAGTGTTTGAGAAAACTACAAATTACAAAGCAGAAGAAGGCCAGCTTAAAGTAAGGCTGGATAACTTCAAGAAAGCAATGAGTGAGATTCAAAAGACTATTAAACCTTAACTGATTCAAATGGAAAGAGAAGTCAAAGAACTAGGATACTAAATAAACTCTGGCCGAAGAAAGCTTGAATCGATCTTTGAGAAGTATAAGGAAGTCTTGCATTAGCAAGCTCTGATTAAAAAGACAATCAATGAAAGATTCAATAGCAATGTAATGAGTACTTAGGAAGACTTAAGATACCAGAGAGATCACATTGAGGTCTAGTAGTTCAAGCAGTTTACCAATCAAGAAAATGAAAATGATGATATACACTTTGAAAATGTAGAGGGAGACAATATCCCAAGAATATCAACCCAAGGGTTCTAATTTGATGAAGAATACAAAAAGATGCAGAATATAATAGATGCAGACGAGAGAATGAAATGTCAGCCTATAAACAATCAAATCATCTAGGAGATTTCAGAGGAATACGATGATGATGACAAAAGCAATAAAACTCAGTGCAGCATTTCAAATATTCAAGGTAGCAAAAATCAAGAGTCTAAGCTCAACACAACTAAGTCAAAGCTAAAGAATGCGGCATCAAGTAAAAAATTAGAAGTGACGGAGAATAACATAGATAGAAACATGCACGAATTACTTGGATCCTCCTCAAATGATATTTCAAGAGCTACTCATTTTGGTGGGGAAGGAGTCCTTGAGATTAATACTATTAGTGGCGAAAAGATTGGCATTGATATGTCAAACTGTCCTGATAATGAAGTTGAATTCTACCACAAGATCAAAATTCTACTTGAGGGAGAAGAAATCTACAAGAAGTTTGGTACATCTTCTTCAATGACTTAAAAACCATTTGACCCGCTAGACAGCAAATCTAATCCTGAATCAAAAGGGTATGGTAAGCGTTTCCTTAAGGTCTCACCTGACTTTGCTAAAATGGATTTCTTCAAGCAAAATCTAAATAATGGGTCAGTTCATAGCACTTCAAACCAATAAGATAGTCTATAATAGAGTAACTCATCTGCTAATATAAATGCTCATGCAAGTAAATTACAACATGAAAACTTCTTAAATATTGAAAAGATAATGAAGCTTGTAATTCCTACAGTCACCTAGGATATAATAAAGTATCAAAAGTAGATTGGCCATTAGAAATAGATGCAGTCACTTGCAGAATCAAGTTCTATGTCTGCACTCATAAAAACTCAAAAGCAGCTCATTGGTGTTAAAAGAGATCAAGAAGAGTACAAGGACAAATGTCTGAATGCTAGATGCTATCCATTCAGTTTGGTTTTAAGTGATAAGACCCTTGAATTGGTATCTCACGATTACTTCCAGTTCAAATTCATCACAGAGGGACTCGAGGAAATGCTTAAAAAGAAGTCTCAGCTTAATAAACTCGCTAAGAAAATCATTATTTGTTGATTAAATTTAATCTTTACTTCCAAACATTTATCGCTTAATAATTCTTTAGATTTAGAGACATGGGGTTTTGGGGTTTTGGGGTTTTGGGGTTTTGGGGTTTTGGGGTTTTGGG